TATTTTTTTTTTAAGTTTTCTTACACCCCTTAAAATCAAGAAGGCCTTGCAACCTCTCTGCAGCTATGGGGACACAATGTTGTAAAATCACTACATTAATCTATCCATATCAAAAACTTATAACAGTAAAGAAGACAGTTATATTGATGATGATAACTGGACAGTAAAGTTGCTCATACCGCATGTGAGCCACTGTTTTAAAATGAGTTGTTGCCATCTTGTGGTGATTACGCAGTATTACCGGTCTCAACACAAGAATCAAAGCTGTGCACAAACCTGCTGTGTCCATGTTTGTTTTGGTCACTCAGACGCTGATGCACTTAAAATTAAAAGAGTTTTTAAATAGCAACACGTAAGTGCAGCTGTCTTCATGTCACTGAGGCATGTATTCACAATGAGCTCCACCCAGTAGGCAGGGCAAACACACAGGTGGTGTGACAAGCAGGTTCTGCAACAGTTGAAACAAGAACTGAGTTGCACCTTAAACAGGATCCTGCTAAGACTGTTTTTAGAAGGAGGACTTTCTTTCATTTCATCTGACCAAGACTTCAATATGGCTTATTTTGTACACCTGAAACTAATATGCAATTGGGCATGGCATGCTGTGGCGTGAGGGCCTTAATGACAGCTGTTATTACAGGTCACTGACTGCACAGTAGACCTTTTTTCAATGCCTTGGGATTCATATAAGACACTCTGAGATCTGTGCTACCTGGTGGCAATGGGGACCTTTGTTTTGCTTGAAGTCAAGACGGAGAGAGGAGTCCTCTGCATGCTTCTGCTCCTCTTCCTCTGCTGCTTTGGAGGGAAATGTGAGCTCCAGGAACCAAAACCCTCAGACCCGACCAACTTCGCCGGGGTCCAACCTTTCCACCATGAGCTCGATGGGCCCCAGGCTTACCCCGAAGAGGAGAGGGGTCGCCTTCCTGTGTTCACCATGGACTATCCTCGGATCCAGGTCCCCTTTGAGTTTACACTGTGGGTGCTGCTGGCCTCTTTTGCCAAAATTGGTACGTGTGGAGGAATCACTTGTGTTTTGGGCATGAAGAAAAAAGGCTTGTGTCAGGGTTCGCCAATGGTGGAAAGTAACATAAGTACATTTACACATAACATTTTGAACGTAGGACATTTCTTGTAAGAGAGTAATGTCAAACTGCAGTGTTGCTACTTTTACTTAAAGGGTAACTTTGGTATTTTTCAACCTGGACCCTATTTTATCGTGTTTTTGTGTTTACGTGAGTCATGGAGACAACACTTTTTTAAATGAGTCCATTATTGAGTGAGAGTGCTTCAGCAGGGAGCCGCGAAAAAGGCTGCAATGTAACCGATTAGGGCGTTTGTGCACCATCAATTTACGTCCACTAAAAGTGCTTGTTTATGCCACTGCCAGGCTCAGATTGTTACTCTAAATGTCTGACATATAATGGAAAGGATCCCTACATGACACGTGTGAAGAAAACATGCATGGAATAAGAACAAAGTAGGCTTTGTCCATTTCCAGGGTCCTTCATTTTGGAGGCCAGAACCTTCTTCTCATAGCTTTGTCTTCCCTCCAGGTTTCCACATTTACCATAAAATCACCATCTGGATCCCGGAGTCCTGCCTCCTGATCAGCGTCGGCCTCATCGTCGGCGCCATCATGCACTCAGTCAAAGAGGAACCCCCTGCCGTCCTCAATTCTCATGTCTTCTTCCTCTACATGCTCCCGCCCATCGTCCTCGACAACGGCTACTTCATGCCAACGAGGCCTTTTTTCGAAAACTTTGGCACGGTGCTGTGGTACGCCGTGGTGGGAACCCTGTGGAACAGTGTCGGCATCGGGCTTTCCCTCTTCGCCATCTGCCAGTTTGAGGTGTTCGGAGTTCAAGATATCAGCCTGCAGGTCAGTTAAAGTCCACTGACTCAAAGGTTAAAGGTGATGTGTGTGTTTTTGATGCAATGTCTGTGACATTTATGTCAAGGAATTGGCTTTAATCTTATTTTTGGATCAGCAAAACAAAAACTTAAAGCACCAGAGTTGTAAATCTGCAATGCATGACACTGTTGGAGGGAATTCGGGCAAGTTCCCTCTCCTCTATGACTCTTCTCAGAGGACTGAGAGTGGCACAAACACTATATGCATCAAGGTTTAGCCTTCCTTTATAAAAACTGCACTACTGCAATTCACTATTGGACTATACAGAGCTTTAATTTTGAAGTGCCATGTCCTGCTGTAGACAACATGGCCAAACGCAAGGGTGACACTGAATATTTTAAACTGTGTGGACCTTGAACAAATGACTAAGGAGGTGTTCCACTTCTACAGAGAGGGACAGGTAGAGGGGAACCAGAGACAGAGAAAGAAAAGACAAAACACATGCATACGTGGTGTGCAACGGAGTGCTCCAGGAATAATGTTTTGTAGGTAAATGTTTATGATACTTAAGGCCCTGACACACCAAGCCGACGGTTGGCTGTCGGTCAAAGTCGGGCCGTCGGTGAGCATCTGTCGCCCTAGTTTTTGCGGTGTGTCCCGCACTGTCGGGGCGTCGGTGTTTACAGCTTTTCGGCCGATTGTTGAATCGGCGGCGGCGGAGCTTTTTGGTGAGAGAGATCGCTCTGATTATTTCCTCTCACGCGGGCGCAGAACGTACGTGCCACTTGGCCGTTGGTCTTTGTAGTGTGTTCAAATGCAACTGACACAGGGCGACGTGAGGCGACGTAGACGACGCAACAGTTGGCTTTCGTCGCCGCTAGTTCTTTGATGTCGGTTTGGTGTGCCCGCACCTTTACACGTTCTGTTCAGCGAGAACACATCTTTCATGATTATTGAAGCCTAAATGCAATCGGCAGGAGTAAAAAGCTGACGTTAGGCTTTAAACAAATTACACTAAGGTTGCATGAAATAATGTCTCCACCATAACAAGACAGTAAACGCTTGTTCGGCGAGATGACGTTCTGTAGTTTCATTTAGCCATTTGTTAGCAACTGCCTTTTTTATGACACGTAAAAGCTTCAAAATTCATGAGTGGAGTATTTACTGACGGACTTTTAACAAACATGAAAGTCTCTTAAGCTTGTGTGAAACCACGGACCTTATTACAAGCACCTAAACAAAAACCCATTCAAAAACCACTGACTTCAAGACAAGGAAACTGGGAGTGCTGAAATGCTGGCTCATTTACAGGTTTCAGGAGTCATTCCTGCGGCACTCTACACTGCACATGCAGGGCTGTAATATGCAATACTTATGTATTCCATCAAGGCCTCACAGCAAGACGGTTCCTGGTTCAAACCTGGTGTGGGGGGTTTGAACCCTTGGATGGAAGAGTTTGCATGCCAACATGGGTTTTCTCCGAGTACCCTGTCCTCCGCCCACAGTCCCAAGACATACAGGCTAGGTTAATTGCGAGCATGAATGGTTGTCTGTCTCTATGTGTCAGCCCTGTGATAGTCTGGCCACCTGTCCAGGGTGTACCAAGCCCTGAGCCCAGTGTCAGCTCCAACAGGACCCCAACAGAATAAGTGGTTACGGAAAATGAATGAATGTTAACTGATGGATTCATTGTTTGCCACCCTTCCTCTCTGCAGGAGAACTTGCTGTTTGCCTCCATCATCTCGGCCGTGGACCCCGTGGCTGCTCTGAATGTGTTCGAGGACATCGGAGTCAATGAGCAGTTATATATCGTCATATTTGGAGAGGGGCTCTTCAACGATGGTGTCACTGTGGTGAGTACAGGAAACGTTTCCCACAAAACCAGATTGTTGTGCCGTCTAGCCGGTAGTATTATTCGTGTAACATCAGCCTAGAAATCCACTGGTATTGTGGAATTTGAAGTGACACAGGTAGATATAGTCTCTTCCTGGTCTTGAAGTTTTCCTTAGAGTTTGGTTATAACATTGTCCATTATTTGAGTTATCTCACAGTTTGAAAACGTGGTCAAGAGGAATCTATCGGCAAAACATTAAGCAAGTGACTTAAATTTTGGGGGCTGCTATTGCCCAAAAGTCAACACTATGTCAGTAGATCCCACATTTCTCTGCTGGAGGCTTGTATAATTGTGAAAGAAACTGCCTTGCCTGAGGGGGATGACATGGACTGGATCTGTGTGCAGGTTTCCCTCAGTCTAGTTTGGCCAGTTCCCTGCTGCCGAATGACAACGTCAGCTCTTATAAACGTGCCTTTGCTTTGGCTGGGCTTCAACTGAGAGTCAGCTTTCATTCAACACTTCGTCTTTATTTCTTGTCTCCAAAAGAAAAGTAGTAAACATTGGACGTCATTGTTGATACAAATCATGTTGGCACATGATCTCTAAATAGTTTCAACCAAAGATTCTTGAGATTGTTGGAGAGTGGTTGAACCAGCTTGACAACATCAGTGTGTGAACCAGAGTTTACATAATTGAAACCCTTCGTCCTGCCTACTGATCCTCTTAATCTGTCTCTCCCTCCCTCCAGGTGCTTTACAATATGTTTTCCTTTCTGGCCGACATGCCCGTCGTTGAATCCACTGATGTGTTTCTGGGAGTGGCCAGGTTCTTCATTGTGGCGGCCGGAGGCATGCTCTTTGGCCTTCTGTTTGGATTTGTTGCTGCGTTCACCACGCGCTTCACCCACAATGTCCGTCAGATCGAGCCGCTCTTCGTCTTCATGTACAGCTACCTGGCGTACCTGGTGGCTGAGTGTTTTGCCATTTCCAGCGTGTTGGCGTAAGTGAAGGCCACACCCAAAAGCCTACAAAGTACTTGACGGTGGAAGAAGCATTCAGACCATTCACTCAGATGAAAGTATCAATACCATTGTGTGAAAATATTCCATTACAAGTAAAAGCCTTTTAAGTGAAATATACTTGAAATTTTAAAAGTAAAAGAACTCATGCAAAACGACCCCTTTCAGAGGATCTTGTAAAAACTGAATGTAGGCACTGATTTTTGGGAGCCAGAAGTGACCATAAATGGACGAGAGGATGAAGCTAACTCTTTTGCTAGCTGTTAGCTTGGTTAGCATGGTGCATTTACACCATTTACACTTTATGGTTAACTGTGCTAATGCTAATGCTAATTTTTGTTTGCAAAAAACAGGCTTAAAACTATTAAAACAAATTGTAGTTACTGGAAAAACTGAGCTTAAGTCTCCTTAGAGGGTCTTTTAGTACAACCGAATGACGAAGAAGACTTTTTAAGGCAACCACAATGAAAACACATTGAAATAGCGATACCTACGACTACGCTTTTACTCTGTGAATCAGGGGTTACAAGTTAGCTTAATAACAGTGTCGTTGTGGTAGAAGTTTGTCAATGGATGGCACCCACCTGTAACTCAAAGTGGCCAAACCTTTAATTATACATAACTTTACAACTTAATAACATTTAAGTGGGTGAGTTAAATAAAAAAAATCCCTGTACAGTAGTCATGAATGAGGAAAACTTGCTGTAACCCAAATCAGGCCCAGCCCATGATATTTGGTCCACGTCTGACCCACACAACATGAGCTGTAAGCCTGGCTCATTAACGCTGGGCCATGTCTGGCCCATATGACACATGCAGTAACCCTTGTTAAGCTAGGCTCATGACATTTGGGCCACGTCTGACCCACACAACATGAGCCATAAGCCTGACTCTGTACATTTGGTCCACCTCTGGCCCATACATCATGTGCTGTAAGCCTGGCTTATTACATTTGGGCCACATCTGGACCACACAACATGAGCCGTAAGCCTGGCTCATTAACGCTGGGCCATGTCTGGCCCATATGACACATGCAGTAACTCTTGTTAAGCTAGGCTCATGACATTTAGGCCACGTCTGACCCACACAACATGAGCTGTAAGCCTGGCTCATCACATTTGGGCCAGGTCTGGCCCGTACAACATGTGCCATTATAACAACTGGTGAACCGGGTGAGAGTGGACTCAAACGCACAACTCTGGAGACAGTTCGGGTTAAATAACACAGTCTTTGGGTTAAATAACACAGTCACAGGTATGATGCAGAGGCAGAGTCCATCAACAGGCTAAATCCAAAAACCAAGAAAAGGACACAGCAAAACAAAAGGCTCAAAGGCTACACGCACAAGAAGCTAAGACGAACTGACACTGAGAGAAAACATGACACACACTAAACACTAAATACATTCTTTAGCTGTGTTTATCTGATGTTTGTGCAACTCGTTCATCCACTTCATTTCCCGCCCTCTGAGTGTGGCGTTACTTCAAAACATCGTTCACTTTCATGGAAGTGTAACAAGGTGTAAAGGTGCTCACTCAACATTCCCAGCATTCTGGAAATAGGATAGAGTGCAGTGAAGACAGAGGGAAGTGGGACAAGTGTAAAGGCAGTGAATGCAAAATGTACGTCAAATATTCAAATGATAGGACTGTTGTTGTTGTTAATTTGTATTGGTATTAAAATCTGTTTTAATTTATCTGCTTCCAGAGACAAACTTGTCTGTGTTTTCTCCCTCCCCGCAGCATTATAACATGTGCCATCGCCATGAAGTACTACGTGGAGGAGAACGTTTCCCAGAGATCCTGCACCACCATCCGCCATGTTGTCAAGATGCTCGCCACCGTCTCCGAAACCCTCATCTTCTTCTTCCTTGGTGTCGTGACCATAACAACTGAGCACGAATGGAACTGGGCCTACATCCTGTTCACGCTGCTGTTCGCCTTCATCTGGAGAGGGATTGGTGAGAGCCTGAATTTAAAGGAATACTTCACCCCCCCAATGACCATCTGAGTATCCATAACCCACCGCGTGTGTTGTTGAATTTGTGAAGAAGACTTTGTTGTCATTAAGAATTTCTGACATTTTGGATTCTTCGTTTACCGGTGGTATGCGAGAACAGCAACGTTTTCTTCAGAAAAGAGTGTAGTGTTCCTTTAAATCGAAAAGATCGTCACAATTAAGACTAATTGTCGTTCCAGGCATCCTGGTGCTGACCCAGATCATCAACCCGTTCCGGACCATCCAGTTCAACTTCAAGGACCAGTTTGGTCTCTCCTACGGGGGCCTGCGAGGGGCAATCTGCTTCGCCCTGGCCTTCACTTTGCCTGATAACATCAACAGGAAGAACCTGTTTGTCACAGCATCAATTGCCGTTATTATATTCACCGTTTTCTTACAGGTATATATAAAGGATATTTATTCAGCTTTTGTCTTAAATAACTTTTACAGTTAACTGCCTCTGTTAATGTCACCAATATACACACTTAGCGCCAAATATAAGCACTAATAATTGTTGGGTTTATTATGAAACATCTTTTCAGGGCATCAGCATCCGTCCCATAGTAGAATATATTAACATCAGGAAATCCAACAAAGACATCAACACCATCAACGAGGAGATTCACACCAGGGTAAGTAACTTTAAAGTTATGTCAAATTGCCCATGTAAGGAAGTGCATTGCATTCTCTTAATTAAAAAAATTGCCTTGTTTTTATGAATTACCAAGATCATAAGCCTGTAAATTCTCTTTTCCTTTTTCTTTGTGAGAGTATTATCTCGTTAATTTAGAAAAACATGAGCAGATTTTTTTCCCATAGAATTTCTTCTCATAACTTTGCAATAGTAATCTCAGTGATTCAGACAAAAAGAGGGCAAACTTTTTTTCTCCATGAAAACTTCTCATAATTTAAATATTATCCCATTATTTTTTTAGCAAAAGGTGACAATTTTTGTTTCCCATTGAACATTCTTGTATTTTATAGAACATTTCTGCAATAATGATGTCATAATTCGGAAAAACAGGGCAAATATTTTACCTCAATTACTCTCATAATTTGGTAATCATAATAATTTCATCAATTAAGAAAAATACTTAAAAAACACTTCTAAAATAATCTTGTTAATTTATAAAAAAAAGGCAAATATTTTCCTTTCTATTTCCTTTCCTTTCTATTTAGAAAAATAATCTTGATAATTTGGAAAAAACAGCGCAAAGATTTATTTCCATTAAACTTTCTCATAATTCTGGAATAATAATCTCAGTAATTTAGAAAAATACTTAAAAAATACTTGAAAGACTTTTTTCCCCATAAAAAAAATCATAATTGAGATGTAATCCTATTAATTTCGAAAAATGAAAACCTCATAATTTTGAGATAATCTTGTTAGAGAAACAGGACATTTTTTTCCCATTAATCTTTCTCATAATTCTGAGATAATCTTGTTAATATGGAAAAACAGGGCAAACATTTACCCCATGAAACTCTCATAATTTGGCAATAATAATAATTTCATTAATTTAGAAAAATACTTTAAAAAATACTTCTAAAATAATCTTAGTAATTTATAAAAAAAAAGAAAAATATTTTATATATTTTTCTTTCTATGAAACATTATAATAATTTTAGAAAGATAATCTTGTTAATGTAGGAAAACAGTGCAAATATTTATTTCCATTAAACTTTCTCATAATTCTGGAATAATAATCTCATTAATTCAGAAAAATACTTAAAAATACTTCTAAAATAATCTTGTTAATTTATAAAAAAAGGCAAATATTTTTCTTTATATGAAACATTATAATAATTTTAGAAAGATAATCTCATTAATTTAGAAACATACTTTTAAAAAATTAAAAAAAAATCATAACTGAGATATAATCCTGTTGATTTAAAAAAAGAGGACAATTTTATTTTTTCATGAACACTTCTCATAATTCTGAGATAATCTTGTTAATATGGAAAAACAGGGCAAACATTTACCCCATGAAACTCTCATAATTTGGCAATAATAATAATTTAATTAATTTAGAAAAATACTTAAGAAATACTTCTAAAATAATCTTGTTAATTTATAAAAATACTTAAAAAATACTCCTAAAATAATCTTGTTAATTTATAAAAAATACTTTAAAAAATACTTGAAATACGTTATTTTCCCCCATAAAAAAAATCATACTTGAGATATTATCCTGTTAATTTAGAAAAAAAAGGCAGTTTTATTTTTTTTGAGATAATTTTCTTCATATGGAATAACAGGACAAATATTTTTTTTCAATGAAGCTCTCATCATTCTGCAAAAATAACCTTTTTAATTAAAAAAACTGAGCTGATTTTTTTTTGTGTAGTGTCTGCACGAGGCTTCCATACATCTGTGAATCACACTAACTGTTTCTAATGTCTCATCCAGGTGATGGAGCATGTTCTTTGTGGTATCGAGGACTTGTGCGGACAGTGGAGCCACTACTACTGGAAAGACAAGTAGGATATATTTGTCTCTTCAATACCAAGTCACATGTTTTTGGTCCTAGACCTGTTGTATTTATTCCTCTGTCTGTCCGTCAGGTTTAAGAAGTTCAACGACCGTGTGTTGCGCCGCATCCTGGTCCGAGACAACAGGGCGGAGTCCAGCATCGTGTCTCTGTACAAGAAACTGGAGCTGCAGAACGCCATTGGGTTACTGGACACGCCGATGGGAGACCTCAGCGCGGCGCCATCTGTCGTTTCTCTGTAGTATGTTCAACAACACATCCTTTATTATCGAAAAGTCGTTTTACCATAATTCACTGTTCATCGCTCTCACCTCCTCCCATCAGCGACGAGAGGAAGGAGGCGTCTCGACCCAAGAAGAGCTTCATGGCTGCTGATGTGAGGAAGATGCACGACATCCTGTCAAAGAACATGTACAAGATCAGACAGAAGGTAACCACACATGCAGAGAACGCTTTCTTCAGTAGGGATGTGGTCAGTTATATTAACTCTGTGTTGTTTCCCAGACAATGGCTTACACCAACAAATACAATCTGCCTGACGACAGCCGAACCAGGGAGATTCTGATCCGCCGCCATGCGAGCATCAGACGCAGCCTACGTGCTGAAAGCTTCCGTGACACGGTGGGTTTCTGTTTTAGATGACAATACCGTTATTACCTTTCCTTTTTCATGTCTGACCCTCGCTCTTCCTCCTCTTCCAGCCTGCACGAAACATCCCCAGGTCTCAGAGGTACTACTCTCTCCAGCCTGGAGGGGATCTGGAGGCCGCCTTCACCCTCAGAAGACGAAGTCACGGTGAGTTTATACCATTGTTGCCTGATCCTGTTTCAATAAACGACTTAAAAATGAAACAGTGCCTCGATATTTGTGTTCTGTCAGGCGGAAGTGGCGACGTGGACAATCTGCCAGCCCATCTTCAGGCCTCTGGCGTGTCACCGCGCTCTTCATCCCGCTCTCTAGTCCCCATGAGGAGGCTGAACACCATCAACGAGTCACGAAGTCACCACTCGCCACCTCCAGTTTCAGGTCAGGTAGACGGAGATGAAGACTCTGAGTGTACAGGAGAAAGGGAGGGAGCAGTGCGACCTCCTCGGCTGCCGCCACCTCGTGGCTGGGTACCTGAGAACCAGGATCCTACGGAAAACGGGGCAGGAAACCCCTTACTTAGAAACCTTCCACAGGACTCTCGGGGCTCAGGGAGATCATGACGGACTTTGTCGAAGACGAAGAGCTAGTTTGGAGGATGAACTGAACAAAGCATTATCTTTTCAAAGTGAAATATATCTCAGGGTTTTCTTAGCCAGTGGCATTATTGCTTCCTCCTGAAATCCTTCTCCGAGAACTTTGTACAACAGGAAGTACCGCCCATTCAAGCTGCAGTTAGAGTTTACATCCATGTCTGTCTGGACTCATATGACAGTAAGCAATACGCCCAGTGTGAATGTTGCTGCAAAGAAGCTACGAATTCTAAAACACTGATAGCACAGTTTCAAAGTGGACACCAAGATCAGAGTCACCAGCTGAGTTATGATGGCCAGAAAAGTGTTTTTGCAGAACATTATGATGTCACAGTGAAGCTGACCTTTAACCTTTTGAATGTAAAATGCCATCACTTCGTCATTTTAGAAATGTGTGTAAGATTTTGTCATTATCAGTGTGTGTGAATCCTTGAGTTATGTCCAAAAATGTGCGACCTTTGACCACCAAATTCCAACCAGTTTATTGTTGAATCCAAGTGGACGTTTGTGCCAAATTTGAAGAAATTCCTTCAAGGTGTTCTTGGGATATCTCGTTTACAAGAATGAGCTGGATGGATGGACGATCAAACATCATCTTAATTTCCGTTTTTTTTTTTTTTTGTATATGTGTATACGTGTCTTTGTATGTTTGTATGGTTTCTGGCCAATAAAGGGAGTCAACTGTTGAAATTACTTACAGATATGTAAGGTGTGGGCGATATGGTTTCAAAATAATATCACTATATTCTGGTAAACCAAAAGGAAGGGAATTACAGTAGTCAAGACGGGATTGTTGGGTGTGAGGGATGGGCGCAGGTGTGAGATGTTACGTAGATGGTGGACAGGTAGAGCTGGGTGTCATCTGCGTAGCAGTGAAATTGAATGTTATATTTGCGGAAAATCCTGCCAAGAGGGAGGAGGTAGATGATAAACAGGAGAGGTCCAAGCACAGAGCCTTGGGGTACACCCGAGGTGAGGGGGACTGGTTGGGATGTAAATGTTTTCAGCTGATCCAACTGAGTGCGACCAGAGAGATACGATTATACGATTTGAACTTGAAGCTTCTGGTCAACAGTTTGCTGTCAGTACAGTAGAAAGTTAAACTGTTGCCGCTGGGCTGTTAAATGCGAGGTTTTATTCACTGTGAGCTGGAAACAAACTAACAGCTCCCCAGATTATATTCGCATGTCCCACTGGTGCTCCATGGTCACAAGACGTGACTAAATTGTAGCACTCTGGAGGCCTGCAGATGAGAACCACAAGGAAGAAGAAAAGCCTGCATAGTATACCTTCAATAAAACGCATGGGAAGGCTGAGTAGTTGCTGCTGATGCTACTAGTGTGAGCAAACACGGCTGCAGTGCAAGTAGGCGGAGTCTGCACACCATTTACAGGCACACATTAGATGCCCCGCTATATTCAAGCAGTGACAGCAGCATGCACGCCCATCACACCACGTGGCTGACACAAACAAAACAGATTAAGTCTTGATAAGTCTCATTTTAAATGTATACATTTTAAACACTATAAATATTTTGAATAAAAATGATACAGATTTTTCTGTAGTATTTGAATTCCTATATTTTGATCAATTTTTATCTTATTTTTTATTGTAGTCATTTAAAATACTATAAATACATATTTATTTAGTATTTAACTCCCTTTATGTAAATGTATTTTTATTTTTAATGTATTAATTTTAAATACTATAAATCAATATTTATTTAGTATTAAAGTTGTGGACTTAGAAAACACAGGAAATCCAGTCCCATGGACAGAAATAAAAGAACACTGAGTGAGTTTAACCGGACAGTTAATGGTTTCTGGTGTAATGGCACCCTCTGGTGGACACCAGTGGGAATTACAAGCACCGCTGCTGGCAAAAAATAATACAAATGAATACAATATTAAGGCTTGGTATTCAAAATTAATAAATAATTTAATACAAAAAAATAGAAAAAATAACTGAAAAAGGTTGAGATGGTATATTATAGAAATATATTTGTTCTAAAAATAATAAAATTAGTGGAAAATACTGTCAACATGTTGTAATCAGTGTCTGCAGGTCTACATGTAGTTCCCACAGATGTCCACCAGAGGGCGCCATTATACCAGAATCCAGTGGCTAAAAGGTCAAACTCTCTCAGTAAACTTTTAAAGGTTTTTAAAACCAATAAATGTTTGTTTAGTATTTCAATCCCTTTATTTCAAACAATTTTTATTTAAGTTTTTAATATCAAATTTAAAATTGTATAAATAAATATGTAGTATTTAAATCTCTTTATTTTAATACATTATTTCATTTTAATATATCAATTTGACATACATGAAATAAATATTCATTTAGTATTTAATTTCCTTTATTTAAATCTATTTGATTTCATTTTTAATGTATTCATTTTAAAAACTATAAAGAAATAATTATCTCGTATTAACTCCCAGTATTTTAATCTGTTTTCTTTCATTTTAAGTGTACTGATTTTAAATACTATTAACAAATATTTTAAAAACTATTAATATTTTTATTTAAAAAAAATCCCTTTATTTTGATCAGTTGTTATTTTTTATTATAGTCAGTTTAGATACTTTAAACAAATATTTATTCAAGATTGAAATCTCTTTATTTAAATCTATTTTTATTTTTAATGTATTAATTCCAAATACTATAAATCAATATTTATTTAGTATAAAAGTTGTGGACTTAAAAGAACACTGAGTGAGTTTAATCCATAGGTTTAACCTGACAGTTAATGGTTTCTGGCGTAATGGCACCCTCTGGCGGACACCAGTGGGAATTACAAGCACCGCTGCTGGCAAAAAAAAAAAAAAAAATAATAATACAAATAAATACAATACAAAGGCTTGGTATTCAAAATAAATAAATAATTTAATATAAAATAAATTAGGAAAAATAACCGAAAAAGGTTGATTTGGTTTGTGATAGTAATATATTTATTCTAAAAACAATAAAATTAGTGGAAAAAACTCTGCTGTAATCGGTGTATGCAGGTCTATATGTAGTTCCCACAGGTGTCCACCAGAGGGCGCCATTATACCAGAATCCAGAGGCTAAAAGGTCAAACTCCCTGAGTAAACTTTTAAAGGTTTTTAAACCATTTAAATAAAACATAATAATAGAATATTATAGTATTATATAGAGAGGAATATTCTAATGTATATATAAATATATTTTTAAACTCAGTATCAGTTCATATGGCTTGTAAAAACCTTCAGTTTTCAATCAAATCAATCAGTTTGAAATGGTATAGATAAATATTTAGTGTTTTTAGTATTTAGTAGATTTTTAATATATTAATTTGACAAATTAGATATAAATATAATCTTTAAATTCCTTTTTTTGTCAATTTCTATTTAGTTTTTGATGTATTCACTTTAAACATCATAAATAAATATTTATTTAATATGGATTTCCTTTATTTAAAACTATTCAATTTCATTTTTAATGTATATATTTTAAATACTATAAATAAAAATATTAACTTCCTTTACTTTAATCTACTCTCTTTCATTTTTAAGCATACTGATTTTACATAATTTTAATAAATATTTTAAATACTATTTATCATTTTTTAAAAATCCCCTTATTCTGATGAGTTTTTATTTTCTATTATAGTCATTTTAGATACTTCAAACAAATATTTATTCCGGATTGAAATCCCTTTATTTAAATATATTTTTATTTTTAAAGGAGCAATAAGCGAAATTCATCATTTCTAGATTAAAGGAATTAAAAAATTGCTATGTGAAGAACTAGAGGTGTAATTTCATCTGGAGTATAGCATGACCTCACACACCCTCTCTCTGTGTTGATTAATTTTAAATACTATAAATCAATATTTATTTAGTATTAAATTTTTGGACTTAGAAAATACAGGAAATGCCTAAATACAGAAATACACACTTTAAATGCAACTTGCAGTACGTTCTGTCAAACAAAGGACGTTATAGGGCTGATTTTTTTCTTTGTCCTGGGCTGGGTTGCTGCTGTGTCCCTGTGAAGCCCATTAAGACACCGCTTACAAATAACCTCACCCTTGATAGTGGATCAGATCATTTGATCATTTTTGCTGGATCACTACAGCCACATATCAGGTTTTCATACTTTTCAAACTCAGAAATGCTGAATCCTCTGCTCCCCTGTGCCATGACCTCTTCCTCTGCTCAGGTGCCTTTGGCCTCTTTCACACACACACAAACACACACACACACACACACACACACACACGTTGCCTTTTATTGGCAGAACTCACAAAACTTGCAGTGATGAGTAAAAAGAGAAACACTGCAGTGCAAACATGTTTCTTCTGGAGCAGAAATGTGGAAATCAGAGCACAAAATAACTGCAGAAAATATAGCATGGCATTCTTCCTCTTCTTCTTCTTCTTCTTCTTTGTTCTCCATGCTGCTCCATTTTCCCTCAGCACAGTGTAGGTCAGCTGAGGCTCCGTTACAGTTTTTCACTATTGCAAAAACACACTTCCTGAAACAAGTACTGCTTTCAAAACTTTATAAACTCTTTTAAAAATGATGCTTTCTGCTCGGGCCTGGACTGTCCCCTGGAGACCATCGAGGAGGTGGGTGAGAGGAGGATGTTAGCCAAGCTGATATCCATCATGGACAACACCTCTCACCCCCTGCATGAGACTGTCCGTGCACTGAGCAGCTCATTCAGCAGCAGACTGCTGCACCCACAGTGCAAGACGGAGCGCTCCCGCAGGTCCTTTATCCCATCAGCTTTAACAGCAACACCTGATGTAATGTAGCACTGTCATGTCTGCTGCTCAGACCATGTGCAAGCTACATACTCTGTGCCATATCCCATATCTGTATTATACTGTGTGTATATTGTAAATAGTCTTGTGTGTACAGTAATTCAATTTAGTGCCTTTTATTTATATATGTATATGTATGTATATGTATGTATGTATATATATATTATCTATATGTACATATAAAAGTACATACAATTAAATTAAATTAATTAAATTAAATCAGAA